AACAGATAGATTTACATGACAAATCAGCACTAACATCCAAACAATGGCACTCAAACGTGTGAGGGATAAGGAAAATAGTACATGTTTACTGAGGGGGGGGAGGCAAAACAGACCACTAACAAACAGGAACTAAGGACTATAGCACACTTTTGATTTTAGGTACTAAAGTTACAGAGCAATGACTGAGGTCAGAGTGAGTGAACATAACACTGGCAACTGGTTTCAAAAACAATAATACACTGGCACAAAGCACCCAAGAACAATAGCACACTAATATGAGGTTCCAATACAACAGAACAATAGTACAATGAATGCCCAAGTGCTAAGGAAAATGTCACATGGGTTTCAACACACCAGCACTTTGGATCCAAATTAAAAACTTGAGGACCACTGAACAAGACAGTCTTTTAAACCTTCTGAGATAAAGAATTCCAGGTCATGGAAAAGCTGTGGCAGAAAGTGAGGAAAAAAAACTTGGTCAATTTCCATTTAAACTACATCAACCTCAACCACCTAGGAGATGGACAGTGCAATCTTTAGGGTTAGATCACAGTTAACCCATGCATTATCTTTAACTGCACTCCAAGAGAGTTTAGTGAAGCTTAGCCCTCACTGAACCTAGGGACAGGTATAAATGAGAGACGCTAGATAATTAAGGAGGACCATTGCAATAGTCCAGGCATTTGAAAATGTTTTTTTATGGGCCACAGGCAACCCCCTTTTTGCTTCTTCTCTGCAGCTCTCAGTGGTTTAAGGATAAAATAATTCACCCCCAGCGGTTCTCCAGTTTATAAATTACAATCCCTTACACATTTTTGCAGCTAAATCATTTTTTGCCCATTTCTCTGGGATTAAATTCTGAAAATCCTAATTTAACTTTAATGTTAGGTTCTGAGGTGCCAGAAATATTTATTTGGAATTAAGAAGATAAAGACATAATAGGCATAATGCTCCCACAGTAGATATATGTGGCCCCCTTAAAGACCCTGTCCTCTCAAATCTGCCCACTGTTTCATCTGAATTTGGCATGCCTACAATAGATAGTCTTCTCTGCCTTATGAGGAGCAAACTGCTAGGACTCATGGAAAACCTGTAACAGAAAGTGAAAGACGTAAAAAGTATACGGTCAGCTTATTTCAACCCAATCATCTTCAGGATAATTGGGGACAGGCAGAGTTGTCCTGACAGAGTTCACGGCAACTTAAAGTACAGTATATCTAAAGTTTGGGATATATTAGGATATTAGGATGGTTAAAAACCCTGTCATGTGTCCCACTGGAGAGAATTGACCACCCAAAATAATGGAAATCCCCTTCTAGACGGTTGTGTCACCAGAACAATTATCCTCATTAGTTCCATTGAGGTCAATACAGCAATACTGTAAGTACCTGAAATGGGTTCCAGCCCTTTCCTATTCCAAAAAATAAAGGTTTGGCATTAGATACCCCTTAAGCCATGATCTTCTATGAGCTGTGTTTAATAAAAGTTAAGCACAGCATTAAGCAATGAGGCTGAACTCAGCTTGTGTCAGGGATACCAGCACAGGTGACCCCACACCTGCGCAGGTACCCACACAGGCAGACCAAACACGCGTGACCACACAGGACAAGGCAGAATGTATGATATACCGTTTTAATATGCCAACCAGAATAATACAAACAGAAACAAGTCTTAGCAACCAACTACATCTAAACAACACCACATGCAAGAAGAAACAGGCAAGCACACCCAGGGAGCAAAGCAAAAAACCAGGGGAACTAAGGGACGAAAGGTCAGGGTACAAGGAGCTAACAGGACTCAGGAACATAAAAGGTCACGGTTCTGGACAACAAGCAGGGATTTGTACTTGCCCCCTGGGCTAAAAGTTGCCAGTCAGCCCCTGGAACATACACAGGATACAGGACTCGGGAACAGCAGCAGGTTACAGGACATGGGACTTAGGCTTAACAGGAAACAGGAAACAATACTGAGCCACAGACCTTACTGCAGGGAGGGCTTAAGTAACCTCCCAGGGAGCACCAGGTGGTGGATGATTGGTGGCAGCTGGGAGACACCTGCAGGTGAGCACTGGAGTTGCAGTTTCCAGCACCACCCAATGGAAGTCTGGTACCTAGCAGTTCCTGGCTGCCTGGAGACCCCCGCAGGTGAGTACGGAAACTGCAGGGCTTAGCTCCAGCGCCACCTTGAGGCGCTCTGGATCCTAACAGCTTGAATCTATAATGATTTAAAAGGAAGAGCAGCAAAGAGAAGGGAAACAACCATGGATTACAGTAAGGCACACATTACAGTATTGGTTTATGTTAAATATCTGAGGGTTTAATGTCACTTTAAGTTTTGATTGATAATACCAAGTATGAATGTGAAGAACACTGACAATCCAGTTTTAGAAATTGTCTGTGAGTCTACAATAAGTAGGCAACATTTGTGCAGCACTAGAGTACACATAAATCCCATTCAATTCATATAAGGTAAGGCCACAGTTGGATGGTAGAGTTGGATGGTATTGGGTGGTCAACTTTATTTTAGTTAGTAAGCTAATGGATTGCTTTCTTTGTTTGCATGGTGTTATGTTTTTTAAATTGGAATATCACAGTTATTGCACCAGATATTTAATCATAATAAATGCTGGCATATACAGTTGCACCCAGTCTGAGAGACGAGGCTCACAGACAATATAGTATGTTATAAGGGCCTATGGTCAGGACCTTGTAATAAATGCATCCAATGTAGGTCAGGATATATAAAACACTTGATGCATAGACTTGTAGTTGATGTTTATTCCAACAATCCATCCTAACGTCTTCTGACAGGTCAATGAAAGGAGAAAAAACTGAAGCAGTACATTCCAGCCTATGGGATGTATGTGAAGCACAAAACACAGGCAAAATCAGATGATTGCTTTCCTTTTCTAGCTATAATAATGTCTATACCAATGTGATTAATTGTTATGGCCTACACCAAGTCCTGGATTTCATTAATATCTCATTGATCTGAATGCAGAGACATAGGAATAAGGCATGCATGCTTTAGTAAAGGGTAGATGGTATTTTTAGCATAAGGCTCTCAGCATTGAAATCTAGGTTGGATTCTGCAACTGCCCTAAGTTTTACTTACTGCTAATGCACCATTAATTGGTAACAGTTATATCCCTTTAACCCCTATCCCCCCCCCCCTCCCCCATATCAAAAACCCATACAATTATATTCTAATACTAATCAAACAAAAACATACCCCCCGACTTCCTTAGATGAGAAAGAGGGACACCTTAACGCAAAGTATGTAGGCAAAGGATTCACCCCCCCCATGCAACAAAAATGATTGGTTTAGCCCACTAGTGTTCTTTCCCCAACTACATTTCTTTTTTGAACAAATGTAATAACAAATGTAATAATTTAGAGGTTGGATTAAAAGTATAGCGCTTTTGGTAGTTAAATAATGCATATTTAATGGAAGTCTATTAATCAGACCATTCCCTCCAATCCCGCTCGCTGGCATTCGGCTATTAGCATTCGGCTATTCATTCACTGCCATTCGGCCCCTAAGAGAGCTGCCGGAGCTTCGGCTCAGCCGATCCAGATGTTGGACCGGCTGAGTTGAAGTCCTTCTGCACTTGGGCTCGTTTGGCTGACCGAAGTGCAGCCGATGTACGGCTGATTTCCGCCGATGTACGGCTGAAATCAGCCGTACTGAGCCATAGTGAATAACCGAACGTTGTTCGGCTCACTTCACTTCGGCTCGGTTATTCACCCGGCTGCCTTCGCCAGCTTTGTGAATAACCCCCTAATTTTTATTATGTAGATGCACATCCTATCACTGAATTGTAAATTGTCCTTTTTTTTTAGCTTTGGAAAGAATGGAATGGAAATGGAATGGAAAGAATGGGAGTTAATATTTATTTAAGGCTTTTATAGCTATCTGTATTCCAGTTGGAGAGATTTTCACTCACTTCCTGTGTGGCCATCGAAAAAAGGAACCAAAGGGAATCTCTCCAATGGGAACCCAAATATCTATGAACCATTAAAGTAAGGGAAAAGTCCTAGAATTGTTGTCAGGCTTTTAAAGTTGTCTGTGTCCCTTTTTGAGAGATTTTCCTTTACTGTAGGTAGGACAGGAAGTTAGGATAATATCCCTGATGAGACAGATAGCAAAAAAAAAGATTTGGATGAAGTTCTACTTTAATATGTATATAAATTTTTTTTTAAATGTTTCCTGGGTCTGTTCTTATATCTATATACTTTAGTTGCCTTGTACCTATCACATTTCTGCTTTGCAAAATAACTTTTTATGTACTATATAGCCAAACATTTGTGGACCCGTGTCCATCATGCCTATCTATATGGCCAAAAGTATGTGGACACCCCTCCATAGGGTCGAAGCTGGGGGTCGGGGGGGCTGGAGGAGGGGGGCATGTCCCCCGGGTGAGGGGCGCCACTGGGTGTGTGGATGGAGAACTTCTCCCTGGGGGGTGGGGGAAGAACTTTGAGCCTTTTCCCCCGGGTTACATAATGTCTAGCTTCCCTAGTGCCGCCCCTCCAGATTACAGAGCTCAGGTGTTTCTAGTGGAGGACACTATAACTGCTACAGCATACAAAGACATTTTAGACAGTTGTGCTCTTCCTTATTGGCTGTAACAGTTTGGGGAAGGCTCATTTCTGTTCCAGCATGACTGTGCCCCTGTGTTTGGTGTGGAGAAACTCCAGTGGCCTTCACAGAGCCCTGACCTCACCCTACTGAACATCTTTGCAATCTCAATTATGAACCAGTTCTTCTCATCCAACATCAGTACCTGACCTGCCATGAGGTGTCCAACAAGCTCATATAGGTGTGATGGTTAGTTGTACAGAAACAAATATACAGAATATGTTATCCATTTCTTAGCATCCAAACAACCTTTATCACCAGTCGGAAGAGACATCAGAGGAGAGAGGGATTAAAAGACACCCAAAAGCGCCCAGCCTTTATAGGTTAGTTACAGCAGATTGATACACTGAAATTCTTACCAATTCTCTGTTTATGTTTTTTAAGTCCTGAATATCAAAACAAAAAAGAAACTCCTTATAATACAATACTATTTCATGTCAATAAAATAAACAGTTTCTAAAAAATGTGTTATGGTAGTTTAAGCAGCTATTTAGCAGCTACGTGTTTCCATTCATTGTTAAACCCTATCTCTGGGTAAAAAAAAACTAAAAATACCATTGACGTCGGGTTATCCCTTAACTGTTCATTTATGGCTAGAGGTATGGTGAAGAGGACTTTTACTGACCTGATCCCCCGTTCCCTGGTGGTCAAAGCTCACCTCTCTCTCTCAGCTCCGGCTCATGGACTGTCCCTCTGGCATTCTCACGTATAATGCAAGGCTATGGGCCCTGCATTGCACATGATGATGTTGTCGGTCTTGTAGCCCGTGGGAATGGGGATCAGGTAAGTCAAAGACCTTCACATAGCTCCCCCTGACATTAACGAACCATTAACCCTTGCAGTGCAGGGGTAGCCTTAGGGAAGTTGCAAATAGGGTACTGCAAGTTTTTTTCTTTAACTTTAAAATAAATCATTGAGCTGTGCTCACGGTCCATTCAAAGTGGGCTACCTAATGCAATGTGCCTCAAAGCGTAAAAATGTGTTGCTAAACTGCACAGCACTGCAGTGTCGGTAGCACTTTGTAAAATGGAAATAGGTATATTTGGTGATCATTTTGTATGTTTAAAAAAAAGAAATCAGTTCAGCCAAAATTGATATTTCAGCTTCTGTTAGATCCAGGAGAGTAAATCACCCAACAGTTTCTAATATGTCCAATGGACTCTATTGGTGAGATCTTTGTGCATGTGGTCTGCACACCTGATGTGGCTATTATGAGGGGTTCCTACTTTCCCTACATTTTTCATTCAAGGTGAGGAGCTGTGACACAGAAAAGCAGGTGGGAACACCCAAAACTCCCAGGTGATCAGGAAGGGTCAGGAAGTATGGTAGGAAGAGCTCACTGTTGGAGTATCCAAGACACATACAAAACCAGGACAAAGCCCACTATGTTACACCTATAACTAAAATGTTTTGGGGGGAAAAAAACGTTAAATATAGGAGATTTCTGGGCAAAATTTCTATTAACCCTTGCGGTGGGGCTACCTCCGCACTGCAAGATTTAACTGCTCATTTTGGTCTAGGGGAAAAAATAAAAAAGTTATACTCACTCGATCATCCAAGCCGGATTGCTCTTAAACCAGTCCTTCCAGCATCTCTCCCCCTCCAGTGCAGCAGTTTAAGGTCCCTGAGTCATCACGTTCTATACACAGTGTATAGGACGTGAGGAAGCCAAGGGACATACCATCACTGCAGCAGAGGAAGGCCAACTTGGAGGACCGGGTGAGTATAACTGTTATTTTCCTTCCTAGACTAAAACGAGCAATTAACCCTTGCAGTGCAAGAGTAACTCCACTGCAAGGGTTAAGAAAATGTTTCTTCTTTAAATGTTTTACCCAATAGGTTAAGTTACTCTTCGGGTTGATTTCCTAAAGATAAACAGGTTGTTTTCTTTGCAAGGGAATTTTCCATTAGCTTAGTGAATGAGGTGAAGCTCTGCTGACTCCCATCATCCAATCATGTGCAAGTAAAACAAAATTTTTATTATCCTTAGCATTTCCCTTACTGACTTTCTAAATATGTTTCTGCGTGATATTAAAGGGGTGAGTTTAATATATATATATATGCATTATAGCGGTATGAGGCGGTGGTGTGGCGTGTTCTGTGGAACTGGCAGCAGATGATGTACAGCGCTGTCTGCAGGGCACATAGCAGGGATCCCTTCTCACCGTTCCACTTGCGTGCCTCATCCTTTGTCATCCTGTGCTGAGCCATGAGTTTCTGCGGAGTGCTCTGGTCTGAACTGGCCTCCTCTGATTCGTTGCTGATGATGGAACCATTTTCAGGCGACCGGCTGCAAGTTACCATAGCAACACAGACAAGTGTTAGGCATCATTTCTGGAACTCACGTAATGAAAATGTCACGAGCTTGTGGAGGAAGTGGGGGGATATCTATTGTATCCGTTCACTCATCAACACTACATGCATACTCAGAGATACATGTACACAACATCATTGTATTTATCTCTATACATGTATCAGAATGCTACGAGACAACAGTATGGGATGAGGTAGATAGATAGATGGATGTATATTAGACATGTAACTTAGTTTTGTTTCGAATGGATATTTATAACGAATTAGGGATGCACCGATATCGGAAGTCCCATTAAGGAAGCCAGGCGGCGTGTAATGACTCGCCACCCAGCTTCCCGATTAGCAGGAAAGTCGTCCCCATGGTTCTCGTCACTAGGTGAGGAGAGAGCATGGAGCCGGCTTTCTGGCCAATCAGGAAGACGGGTGCCGTGTAATGATGCAGCGCCCGGCTTGCTGATTGGACGGGAAGCCGGCTCAATGCTCTCTCGTCATGAGGTGACGAGAGAGCATGAAGCCAGCTTCCCGGCCAATCAGAAATCCGGGCAGCGAGTCATTGCACACTGCCCAGCTACTTGATTGGCCAGGAAGCCAGCTCCATGCTCCCTCGTCACTTGTGACGAGGGAGCATGGAGCCAGCTTCCCGGCCAATCAGGAAGCCTGGCAGCGTGTAATGACTTACTGCCCGGCTTCCTGATACCGGAAGTATCGGGATAGGCATCGAAGCATTTGGGCGAGTACGAGTACTCACCCAAATACTCGGCACCGATACTAGTATACTAGTATTTCTTTATATATATCACAACAAAAAAGTAACCCTCCATTAGTATTAGACAATGAAATGCAAACTATGTACATCCTGAAACCTGTCATAAGATGTCTCTTTGGTTGGCTGTTATGCTGACCCTCTGGCTCCAATACGTTCTTACTCACTGGCCCGAGACTAGCATGCAAATAAGAAAAGTCACACCTTTATCTGCATACTTCTTTCTGGACAATGACTAAAGCATTGTGAAAGGGAGAGCTCAGCAATGGCATTCTTTCATGACAAGATTCCTTAAGGGAACCTGTTATGAAAGAAATACCTGCACCTTCCCAACCACTTGTACTATTAGTCAGAGGCTTAGCATGGCAGCCAGGCCATTTTTGTATTAGTCTTGGATAGAGTGGTGAGGAGTTAGAACCTCTGAAAGGCCTTTATTGCTGTCTGCACCCCTGCTGGGGAGAGTCATCCGCTCTATTTGCCCTGGTGACCACTGTAACCAGACAGAAAGCAACGAGAAATCCAAATGATTGCAGTTGTCATCAGAACATGAATCGAGAGGAAATCTTCCAATGTAGAGACAGATTTAATTGGCAACTGTCTTAGGGTCACCATATACGTTATAATCTGACTGCACAGTCTTTGTAGATTTTAGATGTATCAAAACTATGCAATGTGAGGACCTACCTAAAAACTATCCAATCAGTTTGTATCCAATAAGGCAGGTCCTTGTCCTACGTAGTTGTTAGTAGATCTAAAGGAGATTGTACATTTAGACTGTAAAGTATATGGTAAGTTTAAGGGGAAACTCTGTCTCACTTTGGAGAGAGCTCCTCTCTCTTCCTATTGTGTCCATGTGAGAGGAAGTGAAGGAAAATCTCCTGACTAGGACGCATGCAGCAGTAAAAGAGGTTCTAACTAGGTCCTTCCCTTTAATGAGGCTGCCTGAGACTTTTGCCTCAAGTGGCAGAGTGGAATGGCCACCCTGCTGCACAATGTTTGCAGCGTGCCTACCACCCTTTGTCCAGCCAGACCGTCCCAGGTTGATAAGAGATGTGTAAGCGCCATACACATCTCTCTGCTCAGCTCTTAGCAACCTGGCTGGCGTCCCGCCCAGTGACTGGTTGCCAGGAGCTGGGCAGGATGCTGAGCCAAGCAGGGAGGGCAGTATCACTCAACCACCACTACCCCCACCCCCCACCTCAGGAGGCAAAAAGGCTAGGGTTGACACTGGTTCTAAGGCTTCTCTATCCAAATATTTAAGAACAGTGTTTTCTAGATATCCACTTCAACAATGCAAATATTCTCATTTGAAATTTAGAAATCTAGATTTGTGGTTGGAGAACTCACCTTTTTCTGGTGTCTGAAGATTTGATCATTTTTTCTGTACTCCCATCCTTAGTGCTCTCCCTTTCCTGCGACAAGTTCAAAGATTGCACCACAGTCTCGTGAGTTGCAGGAAGAACATCCTCATCGCCTCCTTGCTGGCCCAGGTGCTGTTTTGCATAATCAAAGCCTTGGACGGGCTGTGTGAGCAGATACAAAGCATATACAGGGTCAGATAAACTAAGATTGGCGGTCGAGGAATGCGAATTGTCTCACAAGCTTATTTTGATGCATCGCATATTAAATACACTATTAAGTCGCAGTGAACATAGTTTATTTGGTGCCTATTAGAATGTGTAAGTGCCTTGAGCCATCATTCTCATCCACCTCTATTGCGCCAAATAATGGCAAACTTATTTTCTGTATCATTGATCATTTGGTGCAGATTGTGCAACTTTTTGGGGCACTAGTTGCATCATTCATTTCAAATCCTTCAAGCTGAACTATTATCAGGCACATCCAAATATGCAGAATCCTGTACACCAAATATTTAATGTATTGACAGCAGTTTATCTGATTTATTGGTCTAAGTCCAATAAGTAATAACCCAATGACAGAGGTCATCCAGGCCTTTCTTCTTCCTGCAGATATATGTATAATATATATATATATTTGTTTACTTTTGGTCAGTTAAATATATAATTGAAAGCATTTTATTATATCTATTTTATAAGTGATATTGCTCTTGTAAGAAATTCAGAGCTGTTCTGCATCCTGTGCACTCTACGAGTATTATCTCAAAGATGTTATTTAGCCTTTCCTGTTCTTATCTTGGACTACAAGTCAATCAGCCTCTATGCTGTGTTAAGAAGACAGTGAGAGTGGGTCAATCATTTAGGAAAAGACAGTGGACAGGGCTGATACCACTGAATCTAAAAATAAATGCAGTGTCTCAGACCACAATAGGAAATTAGGAGCTGGAGGCATTACCAATAGATCAACGGTATTTGTCTGTACTAGCAGTGTCCTTAAAGGGATAAAACATGGAAAAATTTGCATGTACGGCAGACATGTACTGCATATTTTTTATTTTTTTTTGCCCCAACATACATTTTATTTTTTTTGGGTATAACATTTTACTGTGAAAATAGTCGTTGGCAGGGTCGTATTTAGACATTGTGCTATAGTGACATAGTTTGTTGATATAACTTTGTATTTGAGAAGCAGCAGTTGGAGAATCTGGTTGATATGGGCAAAAAAAAAGCAGTTCTTCTTTAAGACAATATGCCGTGAGACCCCCACAGGCTTTACACCGAAGAGCAACCTGTAGTGGTGACACAGCTTGCAAGTAAAGCCCATAATATTCACACAGATACTAAAAGGTTGTTTCATCAAAAAGTCATACTTTAGGAATAGATGAAGCATAGTGGGCTAAGTCAGCTCCTCGCTTTTTATATGTCTTGGATGCTCCAACAACGGCATGTCCTTCCCATAATTCCTGACTGTGTTCTTGTGCACATGGGAGTATTGGGAGCTCCCACCTGTGACGTGCAGTGGAGTCCACACTAGGTGAGGCATTTCCCCCTGCATTCCCACCCACAGCCTGCCTCCGTCCTGCCCCCGGCTTGCCCCGCCCCAAGCCCGGTCACCGAGCTGTGTGGAGGAGGGAGGAGAGAGAAGGGAGGAGACACGGAGGAGCCTCCCTGTCCCTCACTTGCTCATCACTGGTTAGGCATCGAGATCGATGTCCCCTGTTTGTTTGTTTTTTTTTTTTGATTGGACAGCTTGGACCAATGTAGCTTTGCCATTGGTCCAAACCATCCAAAGAGCTCAAGCTTTTAACACAGAGTAGAGGCTGTTGCAGCTTTGGCTTCACTATGTTAGGTTACACAAGCAGTGGGGAAGCCAGATGAAGCGCCACCTGTAATTAACAGGCAGCACTCCGCCCATGATAGGTTACACAGCGGGGAGACCTGTTACAAGCCGCTCTGAATGGAGAAAAAGATGTCAGCTTCAGACTTGAAGCTGACAGCTTTTTCCTACATAACACTAGGTGAGGCTCTGCATCACCTGCCTCCCCTGACCGCACGTCCCTGGCTCCCACCTACTTTGGAATGTTATATTCTCCATAGTAAGAAATTCAAAGGACATTTTATCAGGGAGCATGAGACCCCCTCATAATGGCCACAGCAGGATTGCAGACCCAGGAACTCAGCACACAGATACCCTGAGAAATAAAAGAAGCTCCCAGCCAGTTTATCCCTTCAGAGTATCAGATTTGAGTGGACAAACCTTTTAAATCTAGTGTGTATGAGCTTTCGGAAGGCTGCAGCAGGAAACAAAGCAGTAGTAACAGGCAACATGCCAGCTTTAACAGCCTGTCAGCACTCAATCCATTAATACATCTTTGCAGATCTGTAAACAAGGCACAGTGGAAAATTTATTTCAAGAGAAAGAACCATTTCACTTTGCCAAATTAAAGATCCATGAAAACATTATGAATATGAATTGCAGGATGTCGTAATATTATCTTGAAATCAATATCACAAACACTGTTAATGCCTGACGCAGAAGGCCAGTACATTAAATGTGTGGAGTCGAGTAACAAAAACAACATTACGGAACACATAGCCTCCCCACAAACTATATCATCTAGTACACAGTACTTTCCAAGAGTTGGAGCTTTTGTTCAGCAACGGCTGTAAAATGCCCTAAAATTCCCAAATGGAGGGGCATTTAGTTAAAGTAAACCTGTCATGAGAGAAATGTGCAGGCTGCCATTGCAGACTTCTCTCTCTCTCTGGAAATTTGTTTGGCTTTCCTGCTAGCCCACTTGATTTAGTACTTTGAGTATCTCACCAGAAACATGAATGTGGAGAATGGCATCTGGATCTTTTGTAACTGTCCCAATCTGAATACATGTAACTCAAAAGTATCCAGGCAGCTAACATTTTCTGAAGAAGATTAAAAATGATAGCAATCCAGGTTTACTTTAAAGGCAAATGCCAAAAACACATATGGTTATGCTCTAACACACACCACCGACAGAAGGACTGGAGATCCCTAAAAATGATAGCAACCCAGGTTTACTTTAAAGGCAAATGCCAAAACCACATATGGTTATGCTCTAACACACTCCACAGACAGAAGGACTGGAGATCCCTAACAGTTAACGCTACTTCAAGCCAATCACTGGCCAGCAACTGCTTCTTGTCTAGAGTTCTTGCCACATATGGTTAATTGTCCTAGGCCTAACAAATTTTGAGCTACTTTATGCAATCTCTCTGACTAATGCATAGAGAAATCACCTGCTTGGCCTACATACTACTGAGGAGCATCAAACATCACCATGACTCAACATGTGGTGACAGCAAGCAGATCACTGGCCCATCTCATCTGCCAGGACTTTCCTTAACCATTCTGCACAATTCTGCATTATTTTCTGCCCTTAATACACATTTGGAAACTGTTTCAGGTTTTCATTGAGTTCATTTGGATTTCTGGTTAGAGTTCGAAAGGAACACGACTGATCAGACTTTTCAAAAGTTGACTCATTTCTACAGGAATTCTGTACAGAATGTCCATAGCATAAAGCAAACAAAACATCTGCTCATCCAAGCCACTAACTAATGTCAGTTTCTGACTAACAGGGTGCCCCCTAATGGGTTCCCCAAAATTAGATAGGCAGCATATACAGGTGAAACTCAAATAATTAGAATATCATGCAAAAGTAATTGCAGTAAGTGCTGCAAAAGGGGCCCAAACCAAGTACTGAGTACATATGCATGCTTGTACTTTTCAGAGGTCCGATATTGTTCTATGTACAATCCTTGTTTTATTGATTGCATGTAATAATCTACTTTTTTGAGTTGTGGATTTGGGGTTCTTGGGGTTTTCATGAGCTGTAAGCCATCATCATCACAATTATGAGAAATCACGGCTTGAATTATCTTGCTTTGCATGTAATGAGTCTATCTCATATATTAGTTCCACCTTTTAAGTTGCATTAGTGAAATAAATGAACTTTGCACGATATTCTAATTATTCGAGTTTCACCTGTATACTTTTTTAGTGTTCTGCCAGCACTCAGCTTTTTCATTCAGCAGCAGACTCATAAGTCAGCTCAGATATAAAAAGGCCTGTGGACAGCTAACTAATTAGTGAGGTCTGGTTAACAAGTAAAACTCTGACCAAGGAATGGGGCTTTCTCCCACCCAAAGCCATACAAAGCCTTCAGGCTCCAAGACCCAGATCAGGACTTATAAGGTCTGAGAAAACAGCAAATTGTGGACATGTATACATTGTCCACAATCCTGCCAGTGTGAACAAGTACTTGTACTCATGCAAATGCTCCAATACCCAAAACTGATACTAGCACTTTAATTCATGCAAATTAAGCATCTGCCTTAAGTCCTATGCTTGCTAGGAACCTCGCGGCAGCCTTCTGGGGAACCATGCGGCACCTCTGTACAGTGATTCTGCCGGCTCGCACATCCCCTCCTTCTGAGACCCTCCACACATCTTTCCCTCTTGAGACCCTCTGCACATCTTCCACCTCTTGAGACCCTCTGCACATCTTCCACCTCTTGAGACCCTCTGCACATCTTCCCCTTTTAAGACTCTCTGCACATCTCCCCCTCCTGAGACCCTCCGCCTGGAGACATCAGGCTGGCACCCCAGAGCAGAGCAGAGCAGCAGCACAGAGTGCTCTTTGTACAGATATGGTGCAGCAAAACTGCACCTGAACTCGACAGCTACTTTAGAAATATTGGTTGCTTTTTCTGTTCTGTGCTTTATTCTGCATTGATTTAAAATGTATTGCTGGGATTTGTATTCCTTTATAGTTGATGGTATTATTCTGCATTGCTGTTTAATGTATTGCTGGGATTTGTAGTCCTCTATAGCTGGTGGTATTATTACACATTGCTATATAATGTATTGCTGAGATTTGTAGTCCTTCATGGCTGATGGTATTCATCTGCATTGCTGTATAATGTATTGCTGGGATTTGTAGTCCTCTATGGCTGGTGGTATTCTGCATTGCTATATAATGTATTGCTGAGATTTGTAGTCCCTCAGCATGTATTCAGTAGCATAACTACCAGGGTCGCATTGGTCGCATCTGCAACTGGGCTCTGGTGCTCCATCACTGTCCTAAAATCATTAATCTGTATTGTTTTAGAAAAACAAGGTATCAGTAATTGGTATCTGTACTCATACTTGTCTGGAAAAATGGTATCACTGCATCTCTAATGTATACTGTATATACTGTATAGTAAGAGACAGAATATATTGCCTAAAGCCTTCCTGTACTTTTGTGAAGCCTCTCATGTGGCACATTTTCAGCTGACCTGTCTCCTCAACCCCCAATTCAAAACCATAATTTTATTCTATGTGTAATGATCCTCTTTGCTCATTTCTAGGAAACTGCATAGTCAGACCTTGGAGTCCCAGAATAGTGGAACACTGACATTTGCAGCCCCAAGTAAGAAAGACTGAGCACAGCTTGTCTGAAGCCTGCAGCTGGGAAACTAAGTTGCAGCATGAAAATAAGACTGGAATGATTATGTAATAGTTTATTATGCAAGCATGCAGCGAGAAACCAATTTAGTTCCCTGTCTGTATCGGGGAAGATGGCTATCAAATTGGAAGCTTGCGCTTTTTAAAGTCAGACATTGGTCTGCATCCATATTGGGATTATTAATATTTCTCACTTCTCTCAGACGTTGCCTACACACAGACAGTAAGGAAATACAGAGTGATCATAACAGATTTCTTTCTGCTGTATTACAAACCTCATATTGATGCCTTATTATATAAATGGAAAGTGACGCAAATGTCATCTTGAAGTATAAGCGTTATAAAAACGCATTATGATTTCACATGTATGGCCAAGGAAACTTGGCACCGGATTACCTTCGTCCTAGGAGGCATGTTGCTAATATTATCAGTCTTGAGGTCACTTTTGTTCTTCCGGCAAAGGACGGCAGTGATGATGATGATGATGACAGTCACAACCGCTATAGGAGCCAGCACGGCTGCAATTATCCATAGGTTGTTCGGTGGCTTTTGGACCACAGCTTTTAAAGGAATGAAAGAACAAACAGATTGCCTTTTTTTATACTTTGACATCAATAGTTTTATTTCAAATGAAAGATAGACTCGCAATGCATTCTTTAAAAATGCAATTATTCTTAAGTTCAAAACGTACAGACACATCAAAAGACGAAGATGTCATACTCCAATTTACTTATAAAAATTTTACGTTCCGCTATACATTAAAAGCACTGTCTGTGACTGAACATATTTTCTTACACATGTAATAACCTCAAAGAGACTTTGTCAGGAGATAAAGAAAATGAGAATAAATGCGCCCTGCAAAAAAACCCAAAAAACTAGCAATGGTAAGACCATGCAAATACCCAAAAAAGGTCTGTTTTTAGCAGTAGCATCCATCTACAGACAAGCAGGCTTCAAATGTTTTCAGTTGAAGATATTTTTAAGTGTTTGTGATATTCAAGTGTTTAATGAGATCAGATATGCCATAAGAAAATAACTTACGGTTGGCTTGCACTCGTACAATAAAACCAAGGGTCAGCGCCATGGTCTGAGGGTCGATTGTACTGAGCTGCTTGGCAGCCACTGTGCCTGGTATTTGTTGTCCATCTTTTACGGCATAGTAAGTCAACTCAGCCAGATTATTAGGACCCTCCAATCTCTGCATTTTCACCATCTGAAAAACAAGACACTGTCCAATTACAGCTGTTTCTTTCGAGAAGTTATAGGTACAAGGCTTTGCACCTATAACATCAAACTAACCACGGCAGTCACAGGGGTCACGTATGTATTTTAAAAAGTCAACTGCTATACTGTATAGCACTGAACTAGTGTCTCTAGTCATCATTTTGCTGTCCCTAAAATGTCTATTTATAGCAGTCAGCTCTGCATGTGCCTCAGCTCACCACCTTGATGTCATTGAGCCTAAATTGTAACCCAATCCAATGTTTTTGTGTTTTTTGTGGTTTTTTCATACAGTGGTTGAAGAATTCAAAAAATCAATCAGGTTGTATTGCTGTGTGTGCTCATTGATGAATTCCCCCTCAATTCCTGTTCCAATGACAGCATTGTCCCAGGACAGGAAGTAATAGGAAATCTCTTGAACATGGACAACAGCAATAGAAACATTTTAGTAAAGAAAGAAATGCTTGAACCTTTATCAACTTTTTAATGGTGTCCCCACTGGAGATCTTCCCTCATGTCCTCTCCCAACGACCATACTGTCTCTGACCTGAAGTGAGGTTAAACCTCCCAAAAGGGGTTTTATCCAAAACTTAAAACATTTTGGCTGGATTTCCATATTAAATACTTAAAAAAAAGAGTAGAAACTTTCCTCGTCATCCATGGTGGACAATATTTCTGTTCATGTTATACAATACCCTGCAACTAACATTGCATTTTAATATCTTTGAAATAAGGACCAACCTGCACTGTGTAGCTCCCCACTGTAGTTGCTCTTTTAAATCTTCGTGATTGTTGACTGGAAAGTTGAAAGAGCTTGGCCAACCTTTCTTCCATTTGTCTTGCAAAGCTTTGGTTACTTGACCCCAGTAACTGGGAATCGACTCCCTGAATGACTGCACACAAGAGATTTCAAGAACATAGTTACATCTGGGTGTAGTTAAATTGATGTAGTTATATAACTTACGCAGCTGACGAATGGAGATATAACATTATGGTCAGTACACACAGCAGAATATGGGGAACTTCTAACGCGTTGTGGGATTAAAGCTCACCTAAACCCATACACTAAAAAAGGATGACAATAAGATGAAAACAGTATTTGATAAAAAAAATGGCAATTATTTATGCTACACAGTGCTTGGGCAAACTTAAAGTGACATGAAGGTCACAATCTTTTTTACCTGTTTGGTAACTTTTGTTTTTGCATATATCTACTGTTTGCTAGCAATAGATATATGCAAAAGAAATGTGACTTTGATAATACTTTAATGCCATCCAGTTAGGGCATACATCTACTTTATGGGGTCTATTCATAGGCAATTTGCAGGGCCCTTTACCCTGCAAATATCTTTAATGTTCCTTTTGTGTGAATAATGGCAAATATGAACATTCTTAATCAGGGGCATAACTAGAAATCATGGGGCCCCATAGCAAAACTTTAGGGCCCCGAGGCTAACTCTCTCTGTAGCGGCTGGCAGTGTCAACTGTGACAAGCGGTGTCATTGACCTTAACATGTAGTATGTATCAAGGACATGCAGCAAGAGAGCTGTCAGCATAGTCAATACACCACTAGGGAGCAATGCTGGGGGTAATAGTTATATTGGCACTAATAATAATAATAATAACCAGAATTATATTTTATATTGGGATAACATGATTAATGGTCTTGTTCACATTTACTCTTCAACCCTAATACAAACTTCTTTAAACTCCGGCTTCATTAAACTTTTTTGTAGAATTTAAACCTCAGCCCTCCTATAAGGTTTTAACAGGGGGCAAACTCTGGGATTTGTGACTGCGTTGGGCGCAAATGGTTAATTTCAGTCTGTAGCCGAAGTACAGAGGGCAATAAATCAACACTGCTAAGAGGGGGATCTGTGACTACATAATCCTGAGCTCTGACTTCAGCCCTTCTATACTGGTAAGCTCACAGTTTATTTTTCCTAACAAGCCTCCCTAATGGGGCCCCCTTTTTCCCCAGGCCCCATCGCAGCCACGTGGGCTACTATGGTTATTGTTATGCCACTGTTCCTAATATATATTCTTTTCAGATGTATTGTGACATAATACTGCATTATGCCCAGTAGATTATTCCAAAACATTTTGGCTAGATTTCCCTTCCAATTAAGCTAATCAACATACCAATATATTCTGCAATATTATCAGATTAGTATAGCTATAGCAGCTTTCAGAAGATTTCCATCCATTGTAGTTGTATCTTAAATTTGCCCTCAATTTATCTTAATCATAAGTTCGCCCACACTTCTACGTTCGAGGTATCTTTGTTACACCCGGTTACCACGGCAACCGAACCTGGCAGTTCACATTCACTTGCTCATGAAACTGGCTTCCTGATTGCAAAACATGAAGGAATTCTGAAGTGCTGCAATCATCTTGTGTACAGCAAATAAAACGAAGAGTGTTTGTACGATGGTGTTGCTCTGTTTGTAATGCGATTGCTATTTGTTTACTATGAAGGTAAATGTACTTCTTATGTTTGCTTGTGTATTGCACAAAAATGACAAGAATGTACTACGGACAAAGAAACAAATTGTTTGATACACGTTTCGATTTAGGTGAAACATGCATGAAGTGTACTAATTACCAAGATGTACGTGAGAAAAGTAACACTCTCAAGGCGCCTTTCACCCGAGCACCATCAGTTCTGTCTAAGCAGATCCTAGACAGTACCCTTGCTGAGTCGGATCACAAGGCGATTGGATGTCACGCATGTGACATTCGTATCCTTTCTGTTTTTTTCCTCCATCTTGGGTTGGAAGAAAAACTTACAAATGTAATCACTGTGGGTCATAGGGATGTAATACAGTCCGATTTTGATGGGTAAAAACGGGGCTTATTATAAATGTTATTAATAGGGAAGAAGTCATAATGCTATTATGCAAGGTATTGTTTCCTAAGACAGGTGGCTACTTTAGTCATAGGCCGCGTTCCCTGTGTCTTGGTAAAAGTATAGATATATTTGTTCCTTCCCAAAACAAATTATTTCAGTAACACAAAATCTTTGAGCCGTTTACACTGCTTACTTTTACTTCATAAACTTTTATTGCTGAACCATGAAAACGTTAGCTGACTTGAGTTACTCGATGTGTTAGTGCACTTAGACCAGCGTGAAGTGCACCTGAGTTTTCATGGTCTAGCTATAAAAGTTTATGGAGTAGCAGTAAGTGGAGCGATTAATTTTTCTTTACATTTGAAAGCGAACTACAAGCCTATGTGTTAAAGCCCCACTCTAGTCAAAGACTTCCTAACATCCCTTTCACCATCTTCTAACCAATTCTGCCAGGTGTTTCTTTTTTTTTACCTGGTAAAGCAAATTATATTCACCTGAGTTCCCCCACTCAGGTCCCTCGCTAAAACCATTTCCACTAGGGGGAGTGCTAGGCCAGTGCTGCACACTAACCCTCGCTGGCTGGTCCCCATGACTCCCCTCGGGCAAAGTCAGTAGTCCTCTGGATCCTGAGAGGACATCTTCAGTGGATAGTCAATGGGAGAAGGACCCTAACAGGAATTAAACAGAGGCGAACAGACAGAGTCCTGGGAACTGGGTGGTCATGTGACCATGGAATAAGTAAGGTATAAAAGGGGACTTAAGAAGTCCACAATCATTGGAGGGGAGGTGAAATGGGAGCCCTTTTATCATCATACCAACTACATTTTACCGTGGAGTTGTAAATAGGCAAGGAGGTCTCAACTGTGTCTCCTACCAAATACCTTCCCCCGACTGGGTGTCCTTAGTATTGTCCAAATGTATGCACTCCTGAGAGTCTAAAAATGAAATACCACTCATGGATATAATAATTCAAAAGAAATGTGTGGGAATGGTCCACTGTTTGGCAAATATGAACAGAAACAAAATGTTCAGACCTCCAGTACCAGTGGTACTCAAACCCACAAAAGTCTCGCCACACATATATGAAAAACAGTCACAATTTTATTGTACTTCATAATTAAACTGAAATATGACAAACATGACATAAACCCCTCCCTTCCGAAAAACATTTAAATTTAATGTGGAGTTTGACCTTATTCCAAAGAAGGGATTGCCTGGAGTGACTTGTATGTGTATATGTATCCGTAACAGGTAAGAGACACGTCAAGAAATAGCATCAAGTGAGTAGAAGGGGACAAACTTTGTTGTCACATGGTTTACAAAGCACTTTACAGACTATAAGGGTAAACTTGTCTGTGCAAATTACAAAATCACCTAAAGCTCTGCCCTCTAATGCGTAGGGAGTTTCTCTGTGATTATGCTCATTGCTGAGTGAAATGCATTAGAGGGTAGAGGTTCAGGTGATTTTACCATTAATAAAACATCTATATTAGCTTTTATCTAGTGTGGCTCCCCTTTTCTCTACAATGATTGTATACAAACTTGAGTACTATCATAGGGTGGGGGGGAGGGGGGGGTTACATTTATAAAAAGTCAGTATGTGCATAGGATAATTAAAGCCACAGCAGAGGCTCAGGGCAGCAAGCACAACTTGTAAGATAGGAGCAGACACCTTAAAGCATATACTTATCTTTCCTTTCCCCTTTAGCTGAAGGAAATACCCGGTACTTCTGGGAATGAAGGATCATGTGACTCACTGACACTCTCAACCAAACTTTCAAGCCCTCAAATGACTGGTGTGATAGCTGATCACATGTGCAGCACCATGGCAACTGCAACCCAAATAGAGGCTAAGATGGCACCTTCCAAAAGTGGTTTAACTATCGCCATAGCGACCCAGTCGGCCGCTATGGGGCCCAGGGCACAGGGGGGCCCAGCCAGGACGAGGAACAAATGGGTCCCCCTGATGCCGTGCGGGCCGCCTGGGACGCTATGGCATCGCAGGCTGCTGGCTGTCACTGGCTGCTATGAGGAGGAACACGCCGCTGTCCAAATCACTGACAATCTGTCGGTGATCTGTGCAGCGGCTCGTTCCTCCTCACAGCCGCTGCTGTGTCATTGGCAGCCAACAGCTGCGATAGAGGAGACTGGGGCGTGGCAGCAGCAGAGGAGGAGGCGGCGGGCCCGGTGGCGGTGGAGGAAGAGGAAGAGGCCAGGAGCGTGGAGAAGGAGGAGGAGGCGGGGCTGGGCGGTGGAGAAGGCTCACCTGAGCCCTGCAGAGCCCACCATAAAGAGTCTATGGTGGGCTCTGCAGGGTTACTCTCAGGTGGGCTCTGTGGGATCTCAAGGGGCGTAACTAGAAATCACAGGGCCCAATACAAAATTTTGCTATGGGGCCCTGTGATTTCTAGTTACGCCCCTGGCTGTAAAGGATAGGAGAGTGTAGTTCCACTTTAATATATTCCCCCAATAAATAAGCTCTTTGGTTGGTGGTGCAGAGCAGTCCTAAACATAAATATAAAGTCTTATATAAAGTAGGTCTAAACCTAAATTGGGATAATTGGGATGGTTAATAAAAAAATTACATATGGTGTTACCTGTGGTTACCCAGCTGTTCATTGTTGAAATAGAGGTGTCAATAGTTGGATAAAATAATGCTAAAAGAAAAAAGTAACAAATAAAACATCAATATCGATCTACTTCTGAACTATAATATATAAATTACCAAGTAACATTCATTTTACACATTTAGTTATACTTCTTTATATAAAGCAATGTTTTACATAGATGATTAAACTATTTATATCAGTCTTTGAAGGGAGTTTACAATCTACTTTACCTACCACAGTCATGCAGACACATGTATATTCTAAAACCAGTTTGCATGGAGGCCAGTTAAACTGGGAACTTGACATGTTATGGGAGTAACCAAGAAGATCTGGTGGAAACCCATACAAACTTCATACAGACAGTGTTCCTATCCTGATGGGAATAGACCCCAGAACCCCTTTCAGTAATCCAAGAGTGCTAGCCACCTAGCCATCATACTGTGCTGTTATTATATACTGTATATTGACAAGACTTAGAGACATTCATTAACAATGCCTTAAAGGGCAATCTCCGTCACTTCCTGTTGTCTCTCAGACAGGAAGTGATATGAAATTTTCCCAAAGGCACCTAAACAGCAAAAACAGATGTGATTTAAGCCTATACTACTATAGTAGTAGTAGTAGTAGTAGTAGTAGTAGTATACTACACAAGTTTTGACTATATGTGTACTTTAAGATATACTTTCAATATAAAGTATAATCGGTGCTATCCATTATTATCAATTTTATTTATTTTTTGTCTGCCATTTTTATCACCACATTTCAATGTAACAAAAATAATCACTTAGTGTTGTTTAATCAAAACAATGCAGCCCATTTTAGGGCAGTAGAAGTATGGAAGACTTACGTTCTGCGATGATAGACGGTGGGTCTCCTAGATAATAGCCAACTACCTCTCCAGACAGGACATTTAGAAGGCTGCTGGCTGTTGTACCATTCAGTGGTTGACTGTTATTCTTTACAACATAGATCAGAGTCAGAAACGGGTTCACTTTTGATGTGCTCAAAATCTATAAAGAGATATAATACACAGAGTTAGGATCACTGATGCTATGACCAAGTAATATGCTACAAGATCAGAATTTGGGGTAACCATTATATATCACAGGTGCTAGATCTAAATCATTATAAGACATTATTATTATAAGGTATTAATTAGGGATGTCCCGAAGCCACTTTTTTAAGACCAAGTACAACTACAACTACTTGCCGATACCAATTACCGATACTTTTTCTTAAAGGGACATGTGACATTTTTTTCTAAAGCAACACAGACTGATGATTTTAGGGCAGTTTCTCACCAGAGCTAAATAAACATGTCGCCAGAAATGAATACATGTCCCCACAGCAGCATACAAGTCCATGTCCCCACAGCAGAATACAAGTCCATGTCCCCACAGCAGCATACAAGTTCATGTCTCCACAGCAGAATACAAGTCCATGTCCTCACAACAGAATACAAGTCCATGTCCCCAAAGGCAGAATACAAGTCCTTGTCCCAACAGCAGCATACAAGTCTATGTCCCCACAGCAGAATACAAGTCCATGTCCCCACAGCAGAATACAAGTCCATGTCCCCACACCAGGCTGTGTGCTGATCTCTCCCGGGCAACATGTCGATCTCTGCGGGCAGTTCCTATGCTGTGGAGTGTGCCAATGTGCGGGGCTGTACTGTGCTGTGTGTGGGGCTGTCCACAGCTGTGCCTGCGCCGGGAAGGAGGAGGAGGACATATACAACCGGACAGGCACTGCCACGGACAGCTATGTGCAGGTCCCCAGCAAGCTGCTGAGGTACCCACAAGCGCGGGAACTCGGACGGCCGCTGCGATTTGAAAATTTAAAGGGTCGGTATTGGCTCTAAGAATCGGGGCATTTTCACGAATACAAGTACTGGTGAAAATGCCTAGTATTGGCACCGATATTAGTATCGGTATCGGGACATCCCTAGTATTAATTATAAGTTTAATAAACATCTTAGCACACAATGCCACCTGACAGTATGCTTGATATAACAGCACGCTTGATTGCATGTAAATTAAAATAATGCTAAAAGAAAAAAGTAACAAATAAAACATCAATATCGATCTACTTCTGAACTATAATATATAAATTACCAAGTAACATTCATTTTACACATTTAGTTATACTTCTTTATATAAAGCAATGTTTTACATAGATGATTAAACTATTTATATCAGTCTTTGAAGGGAGTTTACAATCTACTTTACCTACCACAGTCATGCAGACACATGTATATTCTAAAACCAGTTTGCATGGAGGCCAGTTAAACTGGGAACTTGACATGTTATGGGAGTAACCAAGAAGATCTGGTGGAAACCCATACAAACTTCATACAGACAGTGTTCCTATCCTGATGGGAATAGACCCCAGAACCCCTTTCAGTAATCCAAGAGTGCTAGCCACCTAGCCATCATACTGTGCTGTTATTATATACTGTATATTGACAAGACTTAGAGACATTCATTAACAATGCCTTAAAGGGCAATCTCCGTCACTTCCTGTTGTCTCTCAGACAGGAAGTGATATGAAATTTTCCCAAAGGCACCTAAACAGCAAAAACAGATGTGATTTAAGCCTATACTACTATAGTAGTAGTAGTAGTAGTAGTAGTAGTAGTATACTACACAAGTTTTGACTATATGTGTACTTTAAGATATACTTTCAATATAAAGTATAATCGGTGCTATCCATTATTATCAATTTTATTTATTTTTTGTCTGCCATTTTTATCACCACATTTCAATGTAACAAAAATAATCACTTAGTGTTGTTTAATCAAAACAATGCAGCCCATTTTAGGGCAGTAGAAGTATGGAAGACTTACGTTCTGCGATGATAGACGGTGGGTCTCCTAGATAATAGCCAACTACCTCTCCAGACAGGACATTTAGAAGGCTGCTGGCTGTTGTACCATTCAGTGGTTGACTGTTATTCTTTACAACATAGATCAGAGTCAGAAACGGGTTCACTTTTGATGTGCTCAAAATCTATAAAGAGATATAATACACAGAGTTAGGATCACTGATGCTATGACCAAGTAATATGCTACAAGATCAGAATTTGGGGTAACCATTATATATCACAGGTGCTAGATCTAAATCATTATAAGACATTATTATTATAAGGTATTAATTAGGGATGTCCCGAAGCCACTTTTTTAAGACCAAGTACAACTACAACTACTTGCCGATACCAATTACCGATACTTTTTCTTAAAGGGACATGTGACATTTTTTTCTAAAGCAACACAGACTGATGATTTTAGGGCAGTTTCTCACCAGAGCTAAATAAACATGTCGCCAGAAATGAATACATGTCCCCACAGCAGCATACAAGTCCATGTCCCCACAGCAGAATACAAGTCCATGTCCCCACAGCAGCATACAAGTTCATGTCTCCACAGCAGAATACAAGTCCATGTCCTCACAACAGAATACAAGTCCATGTCCCCAAAGGCAGAATACAAGTCCTTGTCCCAACAGCAGCATACAAGTCTATGTCCCCACAGCAGAATACAAGTCCATGTCCCCACAGCAGAATACAAGTCCATGTCCCCACACCAGGCTGTGTGCTGATCTCTCCCGGGCAACATGTCGATCTCTGCGGGCAGTTCCTATGCTGTGGAGTGTGCCAATGTGCGGGGCTGTACTGTGCTGTGTGTGGGGCTGTCCACAGCTGTGCCTGCGCCGGGAAGGAGGAGGAGGACATATACAACCGGACAGGCACTGCCACGGACAGCTATGTGCAGGTCCCCAGCAAGCTGCTGAGGTACCCACAAGCGCGGGAACTCGGACGGCCGCTGCGATTTGAAAATTTAAAGGGTCGGTATTGGCTCTAAGAATCGGGGCATTTTCACGAATACAAGTACTGGTGAAAATGCCTAGTATTGGCACCGATATTAGTATCGGTATCGGGACATCCCTAGTATTAATTATAAGTTTAATAAACATCTTAGCACACAATGCCACCTGACAGTATGCTTGATATAACAGCACGCTTGATTGCATGTAAAGCAAAAACTTTTTTTTTCCATGTTTTTTCCATGTTGGATGGTTGGTTGGATGATGTAAGGAATAGTTACCCCTGGGGACTGAAGCTAAGGAAATAAATTGCCAGAACAGAAATAGAGGGGAAATCTTTCATTGTGGACATTTGTTCTGGGGATATCAATCACTTTGGAGAGATTTCCTCTTACTTCCTGTTATGTCTAGAGTACAAGAAATCACTTGAATGGGACACAGATGGCAAAACACCTAATGGGTTTAAACCTCACACTATAAAAATGTAAAAACAAAGTTTTGGCTTCAGGTATACTCTAACTCTTCCTTCTCACAATGCTAGTTGCTTGTTTGTCATGCTGACCCTTTTATTTTAATACTTCCAGTTACTGACCCAGATCAAGTATGGAGATAAGAACCTTTGGGTTTCCTATAAAAAACATACCTGTTATGAGTCATTGACTTAGAATGTATTGAAGCCAATGCATCCAAATGATAGCCAGGCAGCTAGCATTTTCAGAGGGAGGTCAGCAATGGCAGCCCCTATTTCTCCGCTTTTGATGGGTATAAATTAAACTACAAATTCCAGGAGATGTGAATTTTTATGTTTTTGCATGAGCTGCAGGTATGCCTGCACTCTAATAGTTATATACTGTATGGGGGGAGATGCACTGCTGAATTAAATTGCCATGCTGCCTTGAAGCTACCAAAAACAAAAATCAGGTGCAAGTATACATCATTTTTACTTTGCCTTTTTATGACTAGAGCTGTTCTTTAAGCTCCTCTGCGGATATTTTACATGGGCATTCCAAAGCCGAATCCTCTGCCAGCTACAGCACCTGCAATGGCACCGTCATGACTCCTAACAGGTGCAAAAAACGCAAGCCAAAACCCGGCAGTCACATGAAAGCTTTGTGTTTGAAGAGCGTTCCAGCTCTTACATAAAGGAAAGTGCTGAGATAGATATTATGTGCATAAAGCTGAGCTTTAGCTTTATGTGCATAAAGCTAACGCTCATCTATGCATTTATACCAAGCTTAGCTTGCAAAGAAGAAGGTAGACACTGATATTTTTACTCTGTAAAGCCCAGTAGAAATAAATATGCAGTCACATAGCTGCGCAGGGTGTCTAAATATGACTGTGTAGTCCAACGCGCACTAGAGTTTAACTCAGCTCACACATTACAATCTGATTGTCCAGTCTCCTTTAGGTCCACCAACAACTACAATATGTTGTGCAAGAGTCTGCCTGATTGGATACAAAATTCTTGGATAAATTAGTTTCTCATATAACATAGTTCTTGTAAATCTAAAGTTGATTGTACAAAGATTCAGGTGTGCGGGATTCATATCACCTGACACCCAGGAGATGTATTTCCGGGCGCTGGCAGGTGGTTGTTTTCTACATTTAGCCCTGCTGCAGGCAAGCAGGGCTAAATGTAGAGCCCAGGAGACTCCGCTCATTTTGGACAGCCGCCCAGATCACTTGTAGCGGCCTGCTTTGTTGGTATGTGTAAATATGCTTACAGGAGGGGATGCGCTTTACATTCCAATCAGTCTCTAATGGGTTCTGCAGCAATATTATCTGAAAAAAAGCCTAGGACTTGGATATGCTATCTGGCAAGATTGTCTAGATCACAAGACTAGCTGTACAAAATATAAAATCCATTGGCAGATCAACCATTTCCATTATATATAGTTCCATTTTGCATGCACTGTATCTTTTTGTCTGGAGTTCGGTATAACAGTGCAAAAGATTTTGGGGTGTGTAGCAGATTTGCAGGGGGTGGTTGACACAAATTTGAAGACGCCACGTTGCTACTCCTTTAAGTGTCACCTCACACCATTCTCAATAAGTGGCCACATAAGAGTCGCGAAATGCGTTGATACATGTTGTTACATGTATGTACCCTTAGGCCTGGTTCACACCTGGACGTTTTACAGCGCGTTCCTACGCGCTGTAAAACGCACAACATGTGAAAACCAATGATTGCTTATGGGCATGGTTCCCACCTGGGCGTTTTACAGCGCGTAGGAACGCGCTGCAAAATGCCCTATGCCCAAAGAAGTACAGGAGCTTCTTTGGGGCGTATTTGCTAATCGCTAATCGAGCAAACGCGCATATTCCGTACGCCTATGTGGGAACCCAGCCTTAATCAAATAAAGATTTCTTAATTAAGGACATATACTTTCTATTATTTGTCCATGCACCTCTGTTGACCTAACCTTCGTGTTTTTAGGCATTTTCAGGTTACCCTCCAGATTTGCAGGGGATTCACCATAATTTCACTGGGGAATCAATTAGCTGATTCATAAAGCACAGTAGCTGTCATTATTCTTTAGCAGCATCCTGGCACCCTGGATTTGTCTTGCCATAATGATTTCCTAATAATACCTGCAATGCTTTTTTGCATGAGTTCACATCCACTGAAGATTTGCTACACATTCTCTGCACATTTACTCACCAGTCACAGCCCTCTTAAGTATTTTTATAAATACCAGATAATATTGGCAGGAAACAGTTTATTTCTGCTTCTGTATTATAATGAAAGGTTCTCACCTGGAGTGAGAGGCCATTGCTGCTTTTACCCGTGCTGGTCATCTCAGCTTTCTCAAAAGCCCTCTGCAACTTCTGCTCCATGCTCCGAACATAGACACAAGTGTTCTCATTCCCTCCTGAACCCATCAACTTCAACACTGTTAATAATAATCAGCACAATATTAAAAATAATGAAAATAAAATTCTGAAAAGGGCAGTCTTTCCAAAACAGATATCTTAGTTTTTAGTAGCTGCTGTTGTGAGTTAAACCATCAATAATGTTCTTATAACTCTCAATGACCCATTGGTCAGACACTGTGCTGAGCTTGTATCTTCACCTCCCATGGCCTTTACAAGGGGTCCCACTCAATCTGTTGTAATGTTTATATATTTCTAATTATATGTAGTGCAATGGAGAAGTGAGAACACCCTAATAAAGGTGGAACACTTCACTTTTTGGTAGACTGACCATGAACAACAAAAGTCATGGCATTCTATTTGACATGGCTGCAAATTATGTGGATGCTGAGGACATGATTTATTCTGGAACATACAACCTGGAACAAATTACACCTATACAGAGCATATTATGGAAGCACACAATAGGAATAATATTATTTTAGGTGAAAAAACTAATGTATGATATAAGAAGTACAGTTTAAAAACAGAAAACTGTGCATAAAGCAACATGGATGTCGCCTGATGGCAAAAACCAAAACCTAAAAGATTCCTGTCTAGTTAACAGAAGGCATGGAACGATGTAATGGAAGTCCACAGAGCAAACTGTGATTCAGACCACTGAATGGTACTCATTAAATACAGACAAAAAATATCAAGTAAGAAGATAAGGAGAAGAGGTAAAACGATCTGATGTGAATAAGCTACATAAAGATTGAGATATAAAGATGGAATATAAAAAAAAAAAAAATAATTAAACATAAGCAGGAAAAAAATAATAATGAACACGAAAAAGGAAGATGGCAGAACAGAGAAAATGTTCTTGGTAACCAGGCCGTACGAAGGAAGGAAGATTGGTTTTATGAGTGTGAGGATTTGCTCCAAACGGCAGCACATTAAGGACACCGCCACTCGCTTTTCTCTTTTTAAAGGCTTCTTTGCCCACTTTTATTAACTCACAACTCAAAAGAAAAGTCCACATAGGTGTTCCCTTGCAGGGGTTTTTAAACATAAAGTACCGTTTTTTGTCATCAAACAAACATTTGTCATTCTCACCGACTTCAAGTGGTTCCTTTAACCAAAACTTCTGGCCACACAGGCTGTATTCAAAAGCCTTGCCACACAGGCTTGTCTTTTGCCACACAGGTGGATTGTCACACAGGCTGCTTTTCACCATACAGGTGAACTGCTCCCCAGTCTGCCAGACTCACAGACTGGTTCCAGGGTGGAGCCCTCATGACATCTGCAGAGACCTCCTCTGTTCCCCAGGTGGAACCACACACTTAGCAGCCTGGCATATATTATGGTGGCCTTAATGAGCCAGCTTCCTTCAGCTGGGTTGGTTACCTCTAGGCATCCAGTACTCTCAACACTTCCCCCTAGAGTAAGAACCTCAGCACTACAGCTATAACTGGGCCCTACAAATCTGCCATCCTGGCTATACCGAGACATCCCCATCTGCCTGCTGCCACAGAGGAATGTAGAAAAGCAGTAGAAGAGCCAAAGGTTTCCAAGTCTAAAAGGCTAGAGACAAAAACAAGAGCAAAAATAAATTAATCTACTGTAAATAGAAGAATGGTAAATAAAATATAAAAGAAAAGGGATAAAAAACGGCAAAAGCTTGGGAGAACTAAGGATCTGTTTCAAAAAGAAAGAAGGCAGAAGTTGAGTTGAGGTGAGGTTTGTGAAGTAAAGAAATGGTTTCCACTACCACTGATCATGTGTGGAAGGGGAAATATTAGACTGCTGGGATGGGATATTTGATGAACTGGAGAACAAAAATTAAGTCTTATTTATATCCCAGAAATACAGAGCAAAGTAATATGTATAGAAATAACAATGTTACAAGTGCACTAATGGCTACAATCTTCTTCCACATCTCAATCATTTGTTCACATGTGCACCTTCATAAAGTCATCCATCTTTGTTTTATCAGTTCTAAACTTTTAACCCTTCTCTTCTGGTTCATTAATCTCATCTTCTGGTTCATTATCCTCTTTCAGCTGTTTGTTGATAATGATCCAGAATAGGAGGGTTTAAGTTTAGAACTGATAAAATAAATAGGGATGACTTTACGGAAGTGAACAAATGATTGAGGTAGGGAAGAAGATTCTAGGCATATTAGTGCACGTGTAACAACACAGTTGAGTACTGTGCTTGTTGCTTTTTTTTTCCTTTGTAGTAACAGTTTCAGGACAAGCCTTTTAAAAGTCCTCCTTCTTTTTGGTTCAAGCAGACACATACAGATTTATACTAGAACTTTCTAGAATTTTGCTAATTCTTTTCGCATCCATAATACTTTTACCAAGAAAAATGGGTAGACCTAGAAAGTTTGAAAAACTTACTGTTAGTGCAAAAACAGCATCACATACAGCTCTTAAGGTACAAAGGCAAGAAGAAAGTACTTTCAAAATAATTTACCCTGCCTGAAGAAAGAAAATAGACCAACAACCATCATGGCACCTCCTTGCTAAATGTCACATATAAAGTAATGACAAGTATTTTGTCAATGAGATTACAACCTTATGGGGAATAGCTTGTGGGAGAATATCAATTTTTTTTTTCAGGAAAGCAGGTCAACCACAGATTAGATTTTCCTGTTATGAAATTTTCTGTAAAAATGCATTAAATATAATATCAACTTGCACCATCTATTGACTACAACAGGCTTGTTAAAAAAAATACATTATATAAAACACTGCAGGAATTTGGAATCCCTACTAAGCACTAAAGGCTAATGGAGATGAAACCTGAAGGACAAAAAGGAACACAAAAGTTCAAGAACAAAAGTCAAAAGGAATTACAGTGAATTGTGGAGTTAAGTAGAGGGATGTTCAAAGCCCTACACCAGTTTTATTTTACCCCACCCCAATGCCATTTGATTGGTGTGTTACCATCTTGCTGCCCATGAGTACTGTGAGCTCAGGATGATGTAATGATGCACACTGAAGTAGCGTGTCCATGATAGCCTAGAAGTGGGTTGCCATAATTCAACCTGCAAGAGAACTGGTTTTGAAGAGAGCAGTGACTCTGTGGGGGGACAGCACTAAAAAGGATGTACGTATTGCAGCTTCAGCTGTTTTTAAAAACATTTTTACACCAGCTGGGCTACCGTTTTTCTATTTTTTAAAGGTGTAGCTGGACTCTGTGTCTGAAAAAGGGTTAAAAGAACTGGATTAACCCCTTCATGACTGAGGCCCTTTTTTCATTTTTTGCACCCATGTTATATTCCACATTTTAGGCCTGAAAATGACTTAAAACCCCCCAACATTATATATTTTCTGAATGCCAAGACCCTATAGAATAAAATGGTGGTAGTTGCAAATTTTTATTGGCAAAAGTCGCCGGGAGTCTGTTTAAACAGCCCTGATGCTGTCGACGTACACTGTACGTCGTCAGTCACGAAGGGGTTAAAGAAACAAATGATGATACAATATATACCAGAATCCCCACAATATCCAGCATATGAAGACTGATATACAGCTCGCTAAGAGAACAGAGGGCTTTTCCTTTAATTAGAAAAGGTGTCAAACAGCATGGCGCTTGAAATCAATGAAGAGAATAGTAAATGTATTATTGCATCAGGCAGCTTAGATACAAAGAATCTGTAGATAGACAACTACCAATCACAGAATGCTAATGCTTTTGAATATTAACATTCTATTGTGACACAGCAAATGACAGTAATCAATAAATTAGAGCTGGAACAAAAGCAGAAAATAGACGGTACTTTGCAATTCACTCAATAAAATTAAACATTGTATCCATAATTTTGACAATAAAGATTCATTAAAGTAAAATTAGAGCAGTTGCAACATATGTATCTGAAACACGGGGTATATTAACAGAGCAGTGAATGTGACATCTACCAAACATTCACTGCAGATGTATCTCCCTGGTTTGTACGATTTAAATAACAGTGATTTATTCACCTTTAACCAAAACTTTGAGGACTCCTGCCCTACACACCTAGCTTTTTGGACATCCTATTCCAAAACCATTGTCATTAACAGGGAGTTGCCCCCTCTGTAGGTATAACAGCCTCTATTCTTCTGGGAGATAGGAGGGTGTTCAAGATTTTGAATTGTGTCTATGGAAAATTGTGCACATTCAACCCAAAGAGCATTTGTGATGTCAGGTACTAAGTTTAACAAGAAGACCTGGCTTGCAGTTAATATTCCAGTGAAATTTCAAAAGTGTTCAGTATGGTAGAGGTTAGTGCTCTGTGCAGGCAACTCAAGTTCCTCCACACCGGACTCAATGAACCATGTCTTTATGGAGCTGTCTTTTTGCACAGGGGCAATGTCATGCTAGAGCAGAAAAGGACCTTCCCCAAACTGTTGTAAGAGCACAACAATCTAAAATGCCTTTCTAATATGTAGCATTAACAGTACCATTTACTGGTAAAACCTGACCTCAACAACTTGCAAGGATATCCATATACCTTTGTCCATACAGGTGATGCTAAGGTGTTTTGGCCATGCAACACATAATTCACTTAAACACTGCAGAATCTGAGGCTACAAAGGGAATAGATAGATATAGAAAATAGGTAGGCATCCAGCCAACATTCTTTATGGACTTCAATGTCCTGAATTAAAGAAGTACAGAGATATGGAGTTATGGAGACGGAAATATCTGCACACATATATGTAGGCTGAGCTGCCTGTTTAATAAGAAAACATTGAACAGTACTACACATGTGACTATCACATAAAAATTACTTTTAGATAAACATAATAACAACTCAAAATGTGTAATTACTGACAATTCATTATAGTCTCTCCTTAAAGTGAATATTTAAAATGAAATTCCATTCAGCCAGAAACAGCAATTGAAAATGTATACTTTGTGTTTACCTTAAAGTGGCACTAAACTCAGGAGTTAAAGCTTAAAATACATTCAAGTACCTTAACTATCAACAAAAATGTATCTTATCTGTGCATTAATCAGCTGTAGATCCTCAAATCATCTCTGAATTGGTGCCGACACTTTCCTTCCTTCTGGAGGGGGGCTACTTCTGTTCCACATGGTCCCTGTGTGTGTATTGTAAAGTAACCACCGCTCCAAGCTCACTTCCATGATGGACTACAATCTCAATACAAATTAGTAAACTAAATGTGAGATTGTAGTCCATCACAGGAGCGAGCTTGTAGCGGTCACTACTTTACAATACACACACAGGGACCATGTGGAACAGAAGTAGCCCCCCTCCAGAAGGAAGGAAAGTGTCGGCACCAATTCAGAGATGATTTGAGGATCTACAGCTGAGTGATACACAAATAAGATACATTTTTGTTAATAGCTGAGGTACTTAAATGCATTTTTAAGATTTAACTCCTGAGTTTAGTGTCACTTTAAGAACATTTTTGCTCTTTTTCACATTTGTCCACTTACCTGTTCTTAGCCTAAAGTTGATGGCAGGTTCTGCTTCCCAAGGTACAGCTATTACAGGTACCGACTGGATGAGTGGAATGAGAATTTTGAGGTTAGTGACATTGAAAACATCACTTCCTGTAAGGACAGAAACGATGGCTGAAGGGACGTAAACGGAGGCGTTCACTAATACAGAATATCCCACGGTCATATTCCCTGACAGGAGCTGTGAAAATATGATGTTGAAGAGAATAAAATAGCATCCGTTTCTTAAAAGGTGTTTCTACTGCAAATGAAAAAATGAATCCTTTTCAGCTATGATATTATATAATAATCCAAACAAGTACAGTATGTCTCAATAAACACTTGCCTAATATCAGCACTGAACTTCAGTGGGACCTGTAATTGCAACCTTTGGTGGCCAAAGGTACATGTATCTGCTACGATTGCCTCTTTGACATGACATTTTCCTTTTTTATGTGAACCCACCCTAGAATATATTTTAAAAATGTGAAAAAAGCTAAGAGATGACTGTATTTGTAATGATAATAGCCAATTGTCAATAATTGTCCAGAAAAAGTTGTCCTTCTGTCTTTGCCACAAACCTACTGTTCCTAATGGTAGATCTGGGCCCTGTCAAACATATTCTGTACCAAATGTGCTTTATTGCACTTATTCTGTACCCAAATTGCTTTATTGCTCTTCTGCTTGTGTCTGTTTTTTGGCACAGAAGGACACAAGTTACCAAGAGACATTAGAAGGAGGTTAGTCTTAACCTGTCTGCTGGAAGAGCTTTCATATAAAATGTATTTCCAAAAACATCTATGTTCACGTTGAATGGGAAAAACTCAACAGATAATCACTGACACCGGACTGTCTTGGAGAACACTAATGTTTGGCCAGAAAATCCAACACAGCAAGGAGAATTTTCTCCTAGTAAAGACCCAGCCATTAGATATCTGGAGAGATTAAATAGCTCACACAGACACACACTCCTATCCCAATCAGACCATTATAAACCAGATTGGGGGGAACTGAGTTTTTTGGGTACTTTAGATCTAGGCCGGTCAGGCTCAAGCAGAAGACCAGTCCCACATCCAATTGACATCAGTCATAGGCAAGTTGAACAATTCCAAGGCTCCAGCTACTGTTAGGAGAACAGTTTCATTTAAAACATATGTGTTGCAGTCAGTGTCGTCCCTTTATTCTCTTTGGGCCATGTGGAGGGGTGGCAAGCAAATCAGCATGTTTGCTCTGCTGCACAATGTTTGCAGTGTGCCTGCTGCCCCTTTTCCGGCCAGAGCATCCCAGGTTGCTAAGAACCCGATGGGGTGATGTGTAATGGCCATACACATCTCCCTGCCCAGCTCTTAGCAACCTGGGATGCGCTGGTCGGCATCCCAGTGGCATCAATGGCTGCCAGGAGCTGGGTGGGTCGCCTTCCAGAGCATCCAAAGTTGCTAAGATCTGCACAGAGAGATTCAGAGCCCTTACTTACCTCCCTGACTGGATCTTAGCTCTTAGTGGTGTCACTGTCCACCAGCACCCCTCGCCACACTGATTGTGTGCACCACCAGCACCCCCTTCCCCGCCTCAGGTGGCAAAAAATAATGACACCCCTGGTTGCAGCACAGAAACACTTGAATGCAGATTAACAATTGTTTTAATTGTGCAGATTGTTACTCCACTTACGTAAAGGAAGACACTATCTCCACAAATATTTTTATGAACATCTCAATCCATATCTAATTCTAGCAATACTTTTCTTTTAAGACTGTTAATACCAGCTAAGTAAAACTTGTCTATATGGTACTTACAGTTCCTGCTGTCTGGTTTATAGAGACTTGAATTGGCAGCTTCAATACTTGGTAGAGAGTACGGTTAAGGAAGTCCGCCAAATTCTGTAGAATAGTCTCTTTCTCTGTATTGTTTGGCTGATACCTCAGGGTGAGAACTAAGCAAGGAGACACAATCAACAATGAGTGCATATCCTATTCTCTACTATCCCTAATATTTGATATGAATGAATGCAAAGTTCTAAGTTGTCTGAACATCTTTTTATCCAGTTGCTGTGCTCTGGTCTCATCCTACAAACACACAGTTAATAAATGTAAGTTTTATTTGAAAATCTGTGATCATTATTGGCTACCTATAAGCTGTCTGAGGTCGTTTTTGCAGCCTATATAAAAATAACCTTAAAAAAAAAAAAAAATGGTTGAAGAGTTGGTATACTTTTTAATTCTCTGCTTGAGCAAATGAATGGTGCAGGGGAGGGGGAAAAAACACTGAAATGTGATCTTGAACTATCAGCAGCTAATACTGATACTTTGTTGGTTTACCCAATATATACATTATTAATTGACCAGCAATTACAGTATTAAAAAGGCCCTAATTTCCATTGATTTAATGTGGTACTCAAGACATACTCTGTTTCATTTGATCGAATATGGTTTGTCTCTTCCCGTAGACTAATATTAAACTAATACATTTTATGTGTATTTCTTGCACTTTTGTGCTAGTTTATACTGTAAAGTGGCAATAATCAGTAACAGCACTGAGGCTTGATTGAAATTGGCTTGATCTGATATTTCCCAAAGGATGCCCTTCTGAGGAAACAACGGTACTATAATAAGCACGTGTAATTCTGTAGAATAGCATCTGAATCTACAGCACACTATGGAGCATATTTATAAAGCAATGAATGTGACTTTTGCCAAACATTCACTGGTGATGAATCAATCACTCTCATTTTAAACACATGCACCCACTCCCCCTCCTCAGGTGGCAAAAAGGCTAAGGATAGCCCAGACCCCAGGTAACCAGCTAAATACACACATGAAATACATATATACTCTTACTGTACAATATCCTTTAGATCTTTCAACAACTATATAGTGCAAGGGCCTGCCTGACTAGATAGAGACTGAATTAATACTTTAGGTTGGTCCTTACCTTACATAGCCTAGTAAATCTAACAGAGATTGTACAAAGATTGTACAGTCAGAATGCAAAGCATATGGTGAGCTCAGGGGAGCTGTCTTTACCTGGCAAAGGATTTGTATTTCTGTCTATCCATTCCTGACCTGATTTTTCTCTGCTGCAGTTAACCTGCACTTTCCTTGCCCCAGCCAATTGTTCTTCAATGGGATTATGACATTCTTCACTATCTATTGCAGCCACACCAAAACTACAACATCTTCCTTCCCACAGCTGGACACCTTGCCAATCTTTATTTCAAATTTTACAGACAAGACTAAAACTGGTCAAGAATGTAAATAATATCTACAGACTGTAAAAAGCTAACAGTATGTTCTTTTCGAGTATCAGTCAAGTTGAATTCCAATTTGTAAGAACATTAAAAGAGTAAGAACTCTGAAAGAACTCACCTGTTTTTACCATAGTTTCTGATGACAGTTGGCACTCAAATGGAGAAGGTGTTGTTGTTGATGTTGATAGTATGGTTGTCAAGATTGTGCTCAAAGCAGCAGAAGCATTTGTCACAGGTGTCAATGGAGCCGTTGTTATCTTTGTGGACCTCACTGTGGAGGTTACAGTTGATGTAGTTATGTTCTGAGGGGGAGTAGTTGATGTAGTGGTGGTGTCTGATAGAGTTGTAGCTATAATTGTAGTAGGCACATATGTTGTAGGTGCATGTGTAGTAGTAGTAGTACTTAAAGAGGGCATTGGAAATGTACTACTTATCATCGGGGTTTGAGGAACAACTGTGGTAGGTGCATGTACTGTGTGATCTGTTGTGCTAAAGTTTGTTGGTTTTGAAGTAACAACATCTGATGTCAGAACATGTGGAGTCCTTGTAATCAGAGTAGTCAACAATGTGTTTATTACTGATGCACGGCTTGTGAGAATTGAGAGAGTTATGTGAGAAGAAGATGGCGTTGTTGTACGGTTAAAGTTTTTTGTTGCATTTCCTGCAGGTGGAACACTTGAAACCTCAGCAGAAGATGCCATAGTAGAGACTGTAGAGAGAGAATTAGATATGCTTGTTGGAACGATTGCAGTTGTATATGGGAAGGTTGATGAATGAGGAGGTGTTATGGCTGGGGATGGCAAATGGGATGTAGTTGGAGTTGCTGTGTTTGGAATGGACTGAGTATTACTTTCAGTGACTTTAGATGAAGCTTCATTATGTGTTGTAGACCCTAAGAATGTCAAGGTTTCTGCTGTGTCTGCTGTATTAGGTTGAGCATTTGTGATATTATCTACAGTCGTTAGCATATGTGTTGAAGATGTTGTGCTTTCAGAAGTAAGAGATGAATTCAAAGTGTTTGTAGGTGATAACGAATAGGTGTTTGTAGATGTAGCTTCTGGCCCATTTTCAAATGTTGGCTGAGATACCAAAGATTCTGTAGTAGAGGAGGTCTCGTTGATGGTGCTTGGTGAAGTTTCTTGGCTTGTCTGATTTGTATATTCTTGCCAACCACTGGATGTTATACTTGGTGATAAGGATGACTGAGTTGACATGGAAAGGTGTTCAGTTGTTATGATGCTAGAAAAAGATAGCCGACTTGAATGAATGGATGTCTGTAACCCCTCTGTTTCTGTAACTGTGTCATATGTGACTGTCTCATTTGAAGCTTCTGTTTGTGATTCAGCAGAATGTGTGGAACTGGTCTGAATGGAGGACCCTGTTGTAAACACATATGGCAATGTTGTTATTGCCTTGCTTGAGGTATAAACTGCAGGTTCAGATGTCACCTCTGCAGTTGAAGTTGGTTGTGATTGTGAAACGGCCTCTGTTGATGTTTCAACAACATCTGTGTAACTTTCCTGAGAAGAGGAATATGATGTAGCAGATATTTCGGTATTATAATCTGTTACAATTACTGATATTGATGTATTTATTGTAGTTGTCTCCATTGGCAATGGCGTTGATGGATTTATTGAGGTTGTCTCCCATGACAATGGTGTTAATGTATTTATTGAGGTTGTCTCCAATGACAATGGTACATCTGACACTGTTGTAGAGATACCTTGCTCAGTATCAGTAAAAAGATAGGTGGTCAATTCAGTAAAAGATGACATAGAAGACCCTGTTGAGGTTGAGGTTCCAGGCTCATTCTCTGTTAAGCTGGAAAATGTAGTGCCTTCAGTAATATTATGAAGGTTTGTGATGGTGTCAGCTTCAGATTCAGATGTAGCACTGGATGTCCAGGTAGATACAAATGTTTTAGTAGCACCAGTAGTTCTGGAGGGGGATGAGAAGGATGTTGTAAGACTACTTAACAAATTTAATGGGGATGTAAGATTAGAGTCTTCAGTACCAATGTCAGTATTGGTCCAGGATGTCATCAGATTACTGGTGGTAATTTCATCAATCTGTGTAGTTAATTTTGGTGAATTAGTATTTTGTTCCATACTTGTGCCTAGATCGGAAGATGGTTCGGAAGTAGTTAAAAATGCATCATTGTTTGAAGTTCCAAAAGTTGACATTGTTGATAGGGAAACTGTAGTTTCTTGACTGGAAATGTTTGTAATTGTGTAATGGGAACCCGCCGTGATATCTGTTTGCAGACTCTCTGTGTGCATATCAGTAATAGGTGTATCTGTGGACATAGAAGGTGCAAATGTGTCTGACACTGTTTTTGAAGTGAGTAATGTTGATGTGCTCACATTAGTTGAAGATGGATTGCTAGAAACATCTGGAAGAACCCAAGTTGTCAGGCTGTCACTGAAAGGTGATGTTGTTATTATTTCATTGATATTATCAGCAGCACTGGTAGTCAACGCATCAGAGGGTGACATTGTGTTGCTGCCTGTAGGTTTCAATCTTGTCGTTGTCATTAAAACCGTATTGCCTTGGCTTACATTTGAATTATCTGTGACACCTGTTGAATCCGTCTGATTTATCTCGTTGTTGTCACCAGGGCTTATGGTTACTTCGGGTGTTGTGAAAGATAAGGGTGTTTCTGTTGCTGACTCTGAATAGGATGTTGTTAAAGAGTTCATTGGTGTTGTTGATGTGAAACTTGGAATTTTAGTAAAATTCTGCAATGTTGTGTTATCATTGGTGGCATCTGGTGTAAGTGTTAAATCATCTGTTAATGCCACAGCTGTTGGTGTATTGGCAGTTGTGTGTGTACCAGTAAAATCCTGGGATGTCATTTCTTCAGAATGGGAAGTTGATGATGACATAATATTTTCTGATGTTGTGGACTTGATATTAGTAGCAATCAAAGTGGTACTTTCTTCAGTAATAATTTCAGTGATATCTGTGTTAGCTGTGGAACTGGCAAGGGGGGCATCTGTAAAATTGGTCACATGTGTGTTTGCATCTCTGGAAGGGGAGGGAAAAAATAATGTTGACATGATGGGAGAAGGTACTGATGTACTGGGAAAAGAGGTAACAACGTTGTCTGTGGCAACTATGGAAGTCATGGCACTCTCAGAATTTGTAAACTCTGTGGCAGAGGTTGTGGTCTCAGCAGATGATATCTTTAAAGCTGTTGTTGGTATTATAGTGCTTGACACAGAATCTGTATACAAATATGAGCCCGATGTGTACTCTGATGGTGTGGAGGTTGAAAATTGCTCTGTTGGTGATGGCCTGAAGGATGCGAATTCCGCACTTGTCATAGGACGTTGTGTAGAGGTATGTACTTCATGACCACTTTCTGAAGTTGTGTATATCTCAGGAGCAGTTGTAGATTGCAAAAAGTTTGATTCAGCATTTGAACTCAACAAAGTTGCTGTCCCAGTGATCCCCTGGGTGTCTCCAGTTTCTGTGGTAATGTTCTGGAAAGCAGTGGCCACAGCCATAATTGTAGTTTCTGTAATAGCTTCCTCAGTGGTCAGGGCTGCCCTGTTTATCTCTTGAACAATGCTTGTGTCTATAGTTTGGGTAGCCAAAGAAACCATGATTGGCAAAGACACAGAAACTGAATTGGTAGTTTGAGGGCTGGTTGTTTGAAATGTACCAATTTCATCTGAGGTACCTATATCTGTGGCAGTGATTACAAGGCCTGTAGTTATAGGCTTATTCGTTATGTTCTGGACTTCTGCAGATTGTGTAAATGAAGTACTTGCATAGACTGTTGAAGTTTCTACTGAACTGTAGATTTGCTCTCTTGTATCTACATTAGTTGCCTCTATAGCTGGCGGTGATGACAATATTCTAGAAGTAAGTTCTACAATTGTAGAACCCTCCTTAAACACTGTCGCCTGTGAATCTGCATCTCCTGGCACCCTGGTGGTTTGAAAAATCAAGATGTTGCTGGTTGGGATATAGGTAGAACTTATAATATTAGTAACCGTATGTTGATTAATTGTTTCCTGCTCATTGGTTCCTAATTTTACTAAACTTTCTATGTCAGTGTAAGGCACATTAGTGGAAGATTCATCAGTAGTTCCTGATATGGAAGACTGGTATGGCAATGATGATGATGATGATGACAATGATAATGAGGATGGAAGAGGAATGGAATGAACTGTTCCAGGTGATATGGTTGCAAATGAGGATGCTGAATAGGGGGACATCAATAGGGGTAATGTGCTGGTATCACTTAGACCTGAGTCTGTAGGCTGGAGTGAAGATAGGGGTGAAGATTCAAAAGGATGGATATCGCCCAACTCTACTGTTGTATTGTCCTGCACACTGTCAGTTGGACTTGTATTAATTTCCTTAGCACCCATGCTGGGTTGTGTAGTGTTGTCATAAAAAGTAACATTCTCAATCTCCGCTGTTTGTTCAATTGCACTGAGCACTTCACTCGTTGTAGAGGAAGGGGAAGGTTCTTCAGAAGTCCACAATTGACTTGTTAAAAGGCTTTCATCTGGTGACAATGTTGAACCTGTATATGTCAAACACATATGTATGTTTTAGATTGTAGTAGCCTAGAGAAGCATAAACATAATTATGAAAAAGGAATCATTATTGGTTCTTTATTTGTTTGTTGTTGGAACAGGCTAAACAGGGTTGGAAATATGGATATGCAATATACTGTACATACCAATGTATGATTTACTCACAAGAAAACATTAGGGGGCATTTATCAACACTGAAGCAGACAGAATATGGTGCAGTTACTCATAGTAACCAATCAGCTTCTCTCTTCAGTTTGTTCAGTTAAGTTTTGAAAATGAAAGATAGAAGCTGATAGCCACCAAGGGGCAACTGCACCAAAATCTGTCTGCTACAGGTTCGATAATTTCCCCTCAATGTATTTTGAATACAAATTCATACAGACAGGGAACCAAAAAGAGTTCATCCAATACATGAAGGCCACCACGAAGGCTTTATATATACAAGAAAGCCAAACTATAGTGTCACTCCTGTTCACTGAAAGTTGAAATAATAACATCAGCTCTAATAACATACAATTGGTGCTTGAGTACAGCAGAAGAATTTATATCAAGGTTTGCAAATTATCTTGAAAATTATTCTTGCTGCACATCATTCCTTAGTTTTGTTCTTCAACCCCACCAATGCATGCCTAATGCATTAGCCCCTTCTATACTTTTACAGTCCCTGTGTAGGCATTATATTCACTTTGGACAGTATATCCACTTTTGGTCAACATATACAGTGTATATATATATTATTTTTTACATTTATTTATTTTTAGAAATGTTGGTATTTCAGCATGGTACTTCAGCTATATGTATATTCATTTTATTTACAGTATTTATTTTAGAAATGGTTGTCTTCAGCAAAAGAAAAATGCAAGTCTGGCCCATGATCTGGCCAATTCAAGACCAGCTTGTTAGCAGCTGGTCACTGCCATTGCTGACTATTTTGCATAAATGACACAACGCCAGAAGCTCAGTCCACAGGATAACAAGGGTGGCTTGGCATGTCCAGATAGAGAACAGGAAAGAGTGCCACAACATTGTACATTCAGTTTATGATCGAAAGGACTAAATAGCCTGAAAGTGACCAGAAGTAGCTCAATATGTGACAACATACAGTTCACATTGTATTACAAAAGTAAGAACTAAATAATAAATGATATTAAGAGTTAGAAAAGCTTTGAACACTGAAAGGTGTTTATGTTGACCGCAGCCACAAGTTAGGTAAGAGCATTTTGCAATATTTTCCCTCTAAACCCACCAACATCCACCAATAATTAAAATATCAGCTTTGGACAGAATGAGCCCACAATCATAGGTAAGTCACAGATAAAATATTATAAATATAGATATTATATATCCTGTCCAGAGGAGCATGTCTGTAAAGGTTTTCATCAATATAGGTCATATTATAGCTAGTAGTAGTTAGTCATTTTCAACTGGACTTGTTCCAGGACGCATCTGCAATTACTTTGCACGATATTCTAATTATTCAAGTTTCACCTGTATATATTTAGTACATCTCTGCAGTACATTTTCCTTATTTTTGTTTATCCTACAACAACTCTGCAAGGACAGAAAAATAACTGGTGATCTGCCAGAAATCCAATGTGCTCCTACCTTCCTGTTTGAGCTGACCACATAGTGCCTCTGCTGCCCTGAAATCTTAAGAAACA